CGTTTTTCGATCCCTCGGAGGTCTTAGATTATTTCCATATGAACTGGTTATTTTGTATAAAGCACATTCTTATAACAGCACAGCTCTGACACGTGTGTGTTGTGTGTGTCTGTGTCACTTTATCCTCGGGGCGGACTCCTTTCAGGACCCAGGGGTGAACTGGGTCCCTGGTACCATCACCTTGGTTTGGGGGACGGGGGCTATAGGGAACGGCCCAGCCAGGCCTGTCTCACCCTCCTTGAGCGTCCAGCCCTTGGCGCCGGCACCGTCTCGGACCCCCGGGTTACGCTGGTTGTGGTCTCCCTCCAGATGCTGGACCCGGGCCGCAGGCGAACTGCAGTTGGTGGGAAAACGGTGGAGCCCCTGTGACCACGAGAGGCCAGGGGCAGGGGCTTCCAGCCTCCCAGTGCTCTCCATCCTGCCCAGTTCAGTCCTCACTCCGGGTTCCTGGGAGGGTGTCTGTCATTGGGGGAGAGGGCGTGGACAGAAAGGAGCTGTATCATCAGTCGGCTGTCTTCTGAGACCAAGATTCCTGGGTGGTTTTATCTTCAAATAACTGGCCTTGTCAGTAATGTCTCCCAGTAAAACTTCCACCACAAGTGTCCCAGCTCCGAATCTGTCCTCCACGCAGCTTTATTACCTTCAAGCATCACAGCCTGGAAAATGTGAAAAGCTTGACTCCCGACTGGAATTGCCAGCGGCACCCTCCTGTTGTGGCGAGAATTCCTCACCACACGCTGCCGTGCAGCTCTGTCCCATGGCCGCTCTGTCTCCAGCAGGAACCTAGCTGAGTGCCTGCCCGTAGGGTGCCTCCCTCAGTATCTCCACGGGACCAAAACAAGCTCCTCCCAGAGGCCCGTTTCCCAAGCCCTGGTCAGTGGCTGGTGCTGATCCAGCCCTGTTTTCAGAGCCGCTGTTAAGCCCCCCACCGTGGTTTCCACCCTGACACCAACATCATCCTACCCCCGGGCTGCTTGCTTCAACTTGGAGCGTGCAAAAGCTGCAGGGCAAGGTTTAGGGGAAAGGAAGGGAGCCGGTCACAAGTTGTCGATAAAGGTTACTCTTGAAGTTCCGCAGGAACCTTCCGTCCTCACGCTTGGAAACAACCAGAGGCCATCTCGTTACCATTGTGTGTCTCCAGACAGTCCCTGTGGTTGGGAGGTCCCCTTGGGGCTTGGGGTCCTCGTGTCATAGTCGGCATACTCACTGCACTCACTGAAATGAGGTGCTTCTCACCGTATTAACCAGTTACCCAGTGCCAGGCTCCTGGAGGCGACTTCACCCCAAAGTCTGGAGAGGAGAATGGCCTGCGGCAGACCTCCAGGTGTCCACTGTCCCCTGGCCCTCGGGCGGTCTCCCCCCAGCCTCGTGGTCCTCCCTTGCGCTTTGAAAGGGGGAGCCTGTGCGTCTGTTTTGGTGCCCCCTCTTCCAAGGCTCGCTCCTGGTTTCCTTCGGTGGTTCCGGCAGGAGTCTTCAGTGTGGGTGGACTACATGGTGCTAGCTGAGAGGGCAGCTGGGGAGCCCTGGACCTGGCTGTGTGTGGAAACTGCAACCCCTGCATCCGGGGCATGGGAGTGAGTTCAGGGGCCTTGGGGGGGCCTTGCTTCTAGAACAGCATTGCCTGCTCCTGGAATCTTGGAATTGAACCTCGTTCTGGACAGCTAGTGGCAAGGACGAAATAATCAGTCCAGCCAGTTAGAGCTGGATGTTAATTTTAAAAGCTCTGGAATCGGTCCCTTGGGTTATACCCAAGTCTTTTGCTTTGGGAAGGAGTTGAGTTGGCAGGAAAGCAAGGATCCGTCCCAGCCCCCAGAACTAAGATGAAGCCCGAGTCACCATCCCGTTCTCAGTGTTTATTAAATACCCTGTGTGCCTGGCACTCGGTAGTTACCTGCGGTACCGAAGGAAAAATACAGCTTCGCCTGCAGACTGCGCAATAAAGGGAGCAGAACCGAGCTGAAGGGACGCGGTGCTGGGCTGACAGCCGTCTTCCCTCCTGGTGGTGGACTCCGGGCGGAGGGGGTTGACGGCTGGTTCCCTTCGGTCTCTGCCTAGTTTTCTCTGAGTCCTTATTCTGGCTTGAATCCGTCCCTCCCCTTTCACCCTGCTCCTCACGGGCTGAACTAAAGTGACGAGAATGGAGAAAATTTCACCTCCAGAAACCCGTGCGATGTGAAAGGCCATTACCTACAGACGGCACTGGAGTGCAGGGATGGAACTGGCTTGGAGGGGCCCTGCGTGTCCCCGCCTCTGCACTCCCCGGGAGTCGGGGGTCCTTGTGGTCCCGCGACCCAGTAATGGTTCTGGGTGTCCCCTGAGGGTCGTTAGAAATGCAGATTCTGAATCTGAATCAGAGAGAGATGGGGTCTTGGCGACCTATGTATACCTGGTGGTTCTGATGCAAACGAGTCGGGGGCTGCAGGCCTCAGGTAGGCTGGTCTGACCCAACGACGGTGTCACTGATAAGCTGGGTTCGCCCCACTCTCTGCTGTTGGCTGTGAAGGTTGCTCTGTTCCAGGCCCCGCCCCCAACGCCTGCCTCTGCTTCCCTGTCCCATCATCAGACCGCTGGGCACTCCGGCGTCTTGCTGTCGTGTTGTTTCTGCTGTCTGTCCACCCGTTCACTCCCTGTGGTCTCCCAGAGCTGCTGCTGTGATTTATTCAGCAGACTCTGGTGGCCTTGGGTTTGGCTTTGCAACGCCCTAAGCCTGCAGCTGCCAGCCTAGGCTGCTGGGGCCGACCCCCAGGGGATTTTCTTCGGTCTGGGGTGCAGCCTGGGCGTCAGGACCTTCCCGAGTTTCCCTGGTAACTGCCATGCAGTTGCATTGACAGCCACTGCCCAGAACCAGCGCACGGAGGGGGGCTCGTTAGGGTCAGACCCTGGGGCCCCCGTTGGGGTGGGTCCTGAGACCGTCCTCACCGCCCACCCCACCTGCTCCTGAGTGGGGGCTCCTTCCACGGTCCTCCAGCTTCCGTGTGCTTTTCCCAGTCTTTGCCTGTTTTTCTTTTCTGCTGGTAATGTCCCCTCCCCAAGCCCGCCACACCTCCCTCCTCCTGCTCCTCCTTCCCGTGACTGGTGGTCAGTTTACTGCTCAGATGAGACCCTCTCTGCCTGCATCGGACTCTGCAGCAGACTGGCGTCTTTACTGCCGTCCTGCCGTCTGGCCCCTGCCTGCTGGGACCTGCCGCCTGGGCCACTCCCCTTCACAGCCCTCAGGGCCTCCTGGGGCTGCTCTCCCTGGAGGGCTTCCCGGCTCCCTCCCTCCTCCTCCTCCAGCCTTTCATTCTCACCTGTAACCTCAGCTGTCACTCTGCGGCTGGCAACATGTCCCCCTTCAGCTCTGACACCCTTTCCAAACTGTCAACGCTGACACCCATATGACCTGCTGCTTCTTGTGATTTTGTTTTTAACCCTTCAATTAGCAAACAATTTGCAATTTTATTTCCTACACCTTGTCTGTATGTAAAACGCTTTCTTAACCATTTGATTATAATGTACATTAATGCCATCACCTTCCCCTGCCCTCCAGTGCCTCCCATTCACGTTTAAATGTGATAGACTAGCCTCAGTGCTCACCTCCTTTCCTTTTTTGTGGTGGTAAAGCACACACATTTGGCCACTTGAGCCATTTTTTCAGGTGTGCAATTTGGGTGCATTAAGTCTATTCACATTGTTAGCAGCAACTGCCACCATCCACCTCCAGAAAGTTTTATCCCAAACTGAAACTGTCCCCATCAAACACTTAACTTGCCACCCTCCCCGCCCCTGGTGGCCACTGTTCTCCCTTCTGCCTGGTCCCCACCGCTGCAGGTGGCTCTCGTGGGTGGAACCTACAAGACTGGTCCTTTTGTGTCTGGGTCATGTCACTGAGCAGTGTCCTCACGGTGCATCTGTGTTGTAACGTGTCAGAACCTCCTTCCTTTTGAGTCTGAGTTTCCTCCTTTGTGTTCATCCATCATCCCGTGGGTTGGTCCTTCGTTACTGTGAGCATGGGTGCACGGGCCCTGCTTTCAGCCCCAGGAGTGGGGCTGTTGTGTCGTAAGGTGACTCCGTTTAACTTTTTGAGGGATGCCATGTCTTCCACAGTGGCTGCACCGCCTCAGCCCCACCAGCAGAGCCCCAGGGTCGTTCCCCGCATCCCTGCAGCGGCTCTGACTGTGGTGCGGGCACCCCAGCAGGGGGAGGGAGCTCCTTTCTTGCAGACTCCCACGCCCGCTTTGTTGGCTGCACTTTAAACGCAGGTCATCAGCTGAGCTTGTCTTCCCTCCTGTCTCTTACCTGCCACCCCTGATGCTCCAACTTGGAGTAAACCTGGTACCTGCTGTCCACCCCCCAACTTTAATCAGCAACCAGCCCTGTTGCTTCTCCACAGAAGTCACTTCCGTCCCTTTCCCTCCGCATGCAGGCTCTCCTTTAACCTCTTGCCTGGATTGTTGTAATGCCTCCACCCGTCCCTCGGTGCTGCTGGAAACCTGAACTGTGACCCCCAAGCCCAACCCCACCCCCCACCCCCCACCCCAGCAGTCCATTGCCCACCGGGAAAGGGAGGTATCAAGTTCTCTACATCGAAGTGTAAGTCTCATCTCATAGAGGAGGAAGCAGGACCAGGGAAGTTAGATGACTTTTTTAAAGTCAGACAGCCAGTGCGTGGTAACAAGTTCACCCAGTTCAAAAAGCAGCTGAGTGCAAATGGCAAAACCCTCTTTGCGCTGCCTCCTGTGACCCTAGCGACCCCGGGGTATGGTGCCCAGCTTTTCTGCAGATGAAAAGCACTGAGTTAAATAACTTGTCTAAAGTCCCAGTAACTTGGGAGCTGGAATTTAACCTGGGTCCCTGATGCCAAAGCCTGTGCCACGCTGACCCTTGTGGCAAGGTCCCCCTGCGTCGGGACCCACATGGCTGATCGCTCCCCGCCCCCGATGGCCTTCATGATGAGCCACTAGGGAAGCCCAACAGCACCCATGACTCCTCCCTGGAGCCTTTCCACCCCCAAGTTTGCAGCTCAGGTGTAACGACTTTCAAAGCGCAGGGAAGGTGCCAAACCAGCCTGCAGCACCCCCACCCCCTGCCCAGAAGCGCTTGCTAAATGGACAAAGTATCCATCCGTGCAGAGGGGAGCTGCACTCCTGAAAGACAAACCTGCAGCTGGAGGAGTCGGAGCGGGGCCCTGGTTTTCATTTGTCATCCTCCCTGACCTCTGTGCCTCTGCGCGGGTGGTGAGTCTCCCCTTGCCCCCTAAGTTGCCTTGAGCAAATCCCTCCCAGTCTGACTTTAGGTCCCAAGTAACAGACCGCCTGGGGAGGGGGGCCAGGCTCCGTTCAAACCCACCTGTTCCCTGTTCGCAGGTGCAGGAGGGGGAGTCTGGGGACTGAGGATCAGAGGCTGCCTCAGGGAAAGGGCTGCTGTGGGCAGGAAGGGGGGCCGCAGACCAGCCCCCGAGCCAGCACGTCGGGCCGTGGAGACAGGCGGAAGCGCTGGCCGAGCAGGTGAGAGCGTCAAGCCCAGAGTGCGGAGGAAGAGCCTCTTCCGGCAAATAAGCAGCAGCGGGAGGGCCCTCTGCTTCTCAGAGGGTGGGTGGGAGGAAAGGCAGCCCCTCCGGCAGCCAGCTGTTTGGGCACTGCTGGTGTCAGGCTTAGTCCTGGAGGCCTGCAGGAGGCAGTGAGGAAGCGCAGATTTGGGCCCTGCGATGCAGCGTCCAGATGGGGCGCGGGGCGCGGATTTCAGCTGCAGCCCAGGGCTGGGCTGTAACTGGGTGTCACGCAGGACCACGAAAGGCAAGGTTGCAGGGGCCCATGAGGGGAGGCTGGAGCTAGAGAACGACCATCCTCGGCAGGTGGGACGGGAAAGGGTGGCCGTCCGTCCGAGCTGGTGCGGGGCTCAGAGGGGGGTGGGGGGCGGGACCGACTCGGCAGGGCGCAGAAAGGATCCCAGAGACTCAGACCGCGTCTCCACCGTGAGGGAGGGTCCCCCTAGTCCACTGTGGACAAAGGACTTTGTAAAATACAATAAAAATAATTACTAGAAAAATAGGATTTTTAGAAAGACAAAAGCCCACATCTTTTAAGATTCTAAAACATGGAATCACTCAAGTTGCCCTAAAGATTCTAAACGTGGACTCAACTTCTGTAGGGGTCTAGCCCAGCCCAGCAGCGCCAGCTGTAGAAGGAGGCCACACAGTCGGCAGTGGGGTGGCATGGGGACGGAGGGAAAGAGAGGGTCGGGGCTGGGGGCTGAGCTGGGGGCACTCGGGGGTCCTGAGCCAGCGGATGGGAGCCCCCGGGGCAGGCCTGTTCAGGATGGGTGTGTGGAAGGAGGGGGCACTGCCGACAGGATTCTAGGGGCACCAGGGACCCAGGGAAGCCGCTTAGAGGAGGCTGGGGGCCCCAGGAGTTGAGGGGCCACGAGACAGTGGAGGGGGTAACAGAGGGTGCATCACCCCCGGCAGCCCCCCAGGCTGCGGCTCTGAGACACTGAGACCCGGGGCCTCTTTCAAAACGTGATCCTGGGAAGCAGCGCGTTGGGAAATTTGGTGTCGTTTCCCGTGGTTCCTGGACGTTTCTCCTATTTAAGAATCTAAGGAGGAATTGATCCGTGTCTGAGCACGGAGTGTCTGGCTGTCTCCTGGGGAAGCAGACAGGGTGGGTGCCCCCAACCCCGGCTCTGATGCTGGGGGGCAGTCTGCAGTCGTGGGGCGGGGGGTGGGCAGCTCCTGGCTGGTGCCTCGGTGTGTCCCCTCAGCCCTGGACGGTCACGGCGCAGGCCCCCTTCCTTTAGAAAGTTGCCTCCCCGCCAAGCCCTGCTGTGCTCCCCCACCCCTCCCTCCAGTTCCCTGACTCCTAACTGGCCTTTCACCCGAAATTTCCTTCTCTCAGCCCTTTCTTCCAGAATTCGTGTCCTCGGGCCACATTCAACATGGCGTTTTCCTCCTTTAAAGCACCCAGTGTGTTCTCGCCGCCGGACATCAGTGTGGCCTGATACTGCGGGGGCACCCACCCCGGCCCCGCTCCACCCTCCCCGAGCCCCGTGTCCCCGCCCCTTTCTTCTGCCCTGGACCCCAGAGCCCAGGAGGTCTCGGAAGGGCCGAGCGGGCTGGTCCTCCCACCCGGATGCCCAGCGGGCCCTGAGCTACCAACGGGCTTCTGTCCAGCTGCGCGGCTGGGGCCGGGGGCGCCGCGTGCTCGGACGGTCTGTGCGCACGGGCTCGCCGGCTGGTCGAGGTCGGGTCGTGCGAAAACCCGTCATCTCTCACGATGCGAGGTGAGGCGAAGCCGGGCGGGGGGTGGGGGGCGGCGAGCGTGGAGGCCAACAGGCTCTCCCAACCCTGCCCAGTGGCCCCGTCCCAGCCAGGCCAGCGGCCCCCTGTGGGGAAGGGGTCGGGGGTCACCAGGCCCTGGAGTCACAGCGAAGCTCATCCACGGGGCGTGGCCGGGGCTCGCGGGGTGACCGCCGTCTCCGCATCCCCTTGGCCGAGACGCAACTGCAGAAGCAGCGCGGCAGGACACCTCCGGACGGGCGCCCGTGGGCGGGAGGGGCGCGGCCCGCAGGCTTAGGGCGTGGCCGGGGGCGGGGCGGGGCGGGGCTGGGGGCGCGCGGGCACTAGGGGTTGGGACCCCGGGGCCTCCCTCCGCTTCCAGGGCGCGGCAGAGGGCTCCGCGGGCCTGGACGGAGCTGGGAGGGCACGAGGACGGGTTTTGGCGCAAAACCAGCAACTCGCGGGGTCGCGGAAATTCGCTTTCCTCCGTGCGGGGCGCCCAGGGCCTGGCCTGGGGCACCTGGACTCCGTTTCTGTTTCGCGAGCCCCTGTCCTCTGGTCCCTTAGGTGAGGACTGGAGGCACCATCGAGACCCAGAGCAGCCCTGGGCCCCATCCCAGGACGTCTGCGGCCTCACAGTGGGTGCGGGAAGCAAGTGAGCCCCCATCCCACCCCCGACCTTAAGGGCTGCAAGTGTCCTGCTCCAACGGGGGCAAAGAGGGGCAGTGCTGTCCCTGCCCCCTTAAGTGGCCCCACCAATCAGCACGACCATGATTATTATGCCTTGAAAAGTGGACACAAAGCCAGAGTAGTTGGGAGAGAACAGAGATGCTGTTGCCCCTGCAAAGTCATCACCTGTGTGACCCTCAGAGCTGCCAGCAGGACTGGGCTCGCCCTGTGGACACCAATCCCTGTCCCTCATTACTCTTGGGCTTAATCTGGAGAACTGCTCATTTGTGGACAGAGGTGGGCGGCAGGAGTGAGACAGAACCACCTGCAGCAGCTAAAGGAGGGAGCCTGTAAAGGAAGCCAGGCACAGTCGGCGGGAGGGGAAAGGACTTTTCAACACAACAGGCAGAGGAGGCCTCCTTGACACCCCCCCAGGGGCCCCTTATCCCAGAAACGCACTGGCCGTTTACTTGCGGGGGCGGCGGTGAACCTGACCTTCCCCACCCTGGAGAAGACATCAAGCCAGCAGCCAATGCCTGGATGGCAGGTGCGCCATGTCTGTTCTGGAAGGCGGCAGGGATGGGATGGCAAGCGGGCCTCTGCCCACCCGTCTGACATGTGTGGACGTGGACACAAATGGCCGAGGGCTAGTGTGTGTTTGGCAGATGGAAGTGAAGGGAGAAAGTGAGCTGCTGTAATTTGGAAGTTCTAGACAGACAGGTGGTAGAGAAGACGCAGACACACAGTCATCAACCACTGATGACTTTTCCTTTCAGTGTCATTGAGCCCTAGCGGACACACGGTGCTCTGTAAGCTTAAGGTGGACAGCCTGACGCCCGGGATCCATACGCTGCAGCAACCACAGTAAGTCTGGCTGACATCCATCATCTCATATGGTTAAACAGTGCTTTCCTTGTGATGAGAACTTTTAGAAGCTACTCTCGCAACTTCAAATATTCAGCATTTTTTTTTCAGTGGATTATGATTCACTGTTGTCACCATGCTGTACATCACATCGCTGGGACTTTCATACCTTTTAGCTTTATAAGTTTGTACCCTTTGACCCCCTGCACCCAATTCACTCACTTCCTGCCTCCTGCCTCTGGGAACCACAAATCGGTCTCTTTTTCTGAGTTTGGGTTTTAAGATTCCACATGTAAGTGAAATGACACAGCATTTGTCTCTGAATTATCTCACTTAGTATAAGGCCCATCCAAGTGGCTGCAAATGACAGCATTTCCTTCTTTTTTATGGCTGAGTAATGTTCCCTTGTATGTACCACATCTCCTTTATCCCTTCATCCATCCACAGACACATCGGTTGCTTCGCTATACCGGCTATTATAAATAATGCTGCGATGAACACAGGTGTGTGAAAATCTTTTTGAATTACCATTTTTGTTTTCTTTGGAAAAACACCCAGTTTACATTCCCTAGAACTGTGCACAAGGGTCCCCTTTTCTCCATGTCCTCACCAACACTTATTTGTTGTCTTTTTTCTGGCAGGTGTGAGGTGGTACCTCACTATGGTTTTCATTTGATTTCCCCAGTGATTATTTTGAGCATCTGTTTGTGTGTCTGTTGGTCATTTGAATATCTAATCTGAAAAATGTCACTCAGGTCCTTTGCCCACTTTTAAATTGGATTATTTGGGGGATTTTTTGCTATTGAGTTGCCTGAGTTCTTTGCATATTTTGGATACTTGCTCCTCATCAGACAGGTGCAATTATGTCCCCCCCGCCACATAGCTGCCTTTTCATTTTGTCGAGGTTTATGTGGGATGACGCCCCCACGTGTTTCTTTGTGCTTCTGTTGCCTGTGCTTTCGGTGACCAATATTAAGGAAATTTTCTCCGTTTTCTTCTAGAAGTTTTATGATTTCAGGTCTTGCATTTAAGTCTTTAATCCATTTTGAGTTAGTTTCGTGCATGGTGCAAGATAGGGGTTGTTTCATTCTTTTACACGTGAATGTGTGGTTTTCCCAGCACTGTTTATTGAAGGGACTGTCATTTCTCCATTAAGTATCCTGACTCCCTTGACTGCAAATGCAGCGGTTGGTTGGTTTCTGGGCTCTGGATTCTGTTCTGTTGATCTGTGTCTGTTCTTATGCTGATGATTTTAAAGCCATCACCTCTGGACCCTCTCTGGTTCTCTCCCCGCTTCCCACTGCCCTCCTGACATTTCTCAAGGGATCAGGAAGGATTGAATCCCTGCAGTGGGTTATTTCATCATCCTGGTCTCAAACTCCCTGGCAGCTTGTTCTAAATTTAGTCTCCTATCTTCAAGGAGACTGTGCCTAAGGGCCAAGGGATCACCCATCCAGCTGGGTGGGTGGCAGCCAATGCCCCAACTCCCAAGGGCGGGTAGCCAGGCCAGGGCGGGGGCAGCAGGGTGGGTGTGTGACTGAAGGAGCCACCCTTGCCCACAGGACACGGAAGCTGAAGCTGGAGACACGGGTGGGATGTGGAGCTGGGATGTGCCAGGTGGGGTCACCTGTCCCATGGAAATGCTCGATTCAGCTGCAGGATGCTGGGTCCCTGGGTGAGGCCGATCCCCCCTGCACGTGGGGTCAGGATACGTTTCCCAGTGTTCACACCCATTTGCTAGCCTGTGCCCCAGCCTCCCAGGTCAGTAGAGACTTCCAGGTTCCCATTCCGGATTTTAGCAAGTAGCAGGAGTCTCATTTAGGAGGGACAGAGGGTCCCCAGTACCTGTACCCCTCCCTTGGCATTTAGTCTTGGTTTTCTCATGATTTTGAGAAATGCCAACACCTGCTCAAGATCATATCCGTTGACAGGAGTTACATTTTGCTACCAAAGCCGGCCTTTTGTGGGAAGGCCCTCAAAGGGAGAAAAGTTTGGCCCTTTTCTAAATCCGGGTCCTCTCAAAGACACAGTGGTCTATCCCGTGGAAGGAGGCCCGCCTGGTGGGGGCACAGGGGGTGTCTCCCCAGGGAGAGGCACAGGCCGGCGAGATGGGCTTGACACAGGACCTGGCAGGGTCCCCAGTAAGTGTGTGTCTCCCCGCAAACCAGCTGAGACACACGAGGTTCTGGAATTCCCCGGAGTTCCACGCCGGGTCAGACCAGCCTGAAGCAGACAAAACTGCAGACAGAATGAAGTCCTGTAATGTTGTGTCTGCTCCTGGACAGAAGCCTCAGTTTTCCTAAACACTCAGAAAGAATAAAAGGCCACGGATGAACGAGTAAATCACGGCCACACAGAGCTGACCATGTGAAGGTAACGTCTGGTGACTGACTACATCCTTGAGGCTGATCGTTTGAGACCGGCACCTCAATTTCTAAAGATGGGAAAAGAAGTAGTAACCAGCTTCTCAGTATGAAATGCTGCTCTGCTGGACACCAGACAAAACTGGGGCAGGAAACAGCTTCCTTTTAGGACCCATGACCTAGGCAAAGCACCTCAAACGTCGAGAACGAAGAAACCAGGCACACAACTCCAGTGCAGTGAGGCCGCAGTCACCAAGGGGCCGGCAGCATTCGAGACGCTTGTGCTCAGTCCTCAGGAAGAAATTCCGTTCTGCTTCTTAGATGTTTAACTCACCAAACCACGGGCTCTGAGTTACTCCACTAAAAAAGACTGACACTGAAAGAATGGAAGTCTATAAAATGGGACGTGTTCCCCTAATCTTAGAATCCAAGAGAAAGGAGGCCCCCACTTAAGTCAGAAGAGTTTTTGAAAAACAAGTTGTAAATTAGCCTGGTTTATAAATTTGCCTGGTTTATAAATTAGGCAGAAGGTATATGGGATATGGGAGTCCCATGTCCCAAAGTGCAGGCAGGTTTAGAGGTGGCTGAGGACTGGGAGACAGGTGGAAACACAGCTTTAACAGGACAGGGAATTGGGGTGGGGGTACCCGGAGCTCCCTGCAGAGACTGAGCGGCAGGCAGAGCTGTCCCTGGGAAGCACCCTGCACAACAGGACAACTTCCTCGGATGATCCTCGCAATTTCTGGGAGAGGTGCCAGCCCGGCCCGAGCTTCCCCCCGAGGATCTGGGGGTCTGCCTGCCATCTCCCCAGCCCTGGCCTCCAGGTCCTACAGTACCGGCTCTGCTCCCTCCTGCAAGTGCTGTGAGGAGGGCCTGGCAGGGCTACACGAGGGTCTGGGAGCCACGCTCCTCAGGTCTCCTGCCCAGCTCAGAGGCAGAGGCCCAGTGGACAGGGAGAGGGAACCATCAGGGCCCAGGGGGGTGGTGCTCACCCACGTGCGCACTGGGTGTCCTGTGGCCCAGATGCACCTACGAAGCCCACTGACAAAGGCCCAAGGACCATTTTTAAGTAAAGAGCTGGCAGACCCTCAGCTTTCTTTGCTACTTGGCCAAAACCCTTGGTTGGTCAGAAGCGCCCAGGCCAGGGGCTGGTTTTCTCCCGTAAGTGGGGCAGCCTGCCCATCCACTGGGGCATAGCATTTCCTGGTCTGAGTCTGTGTTCAGCTCCCCGGGGTGCTGCAGGCAGAGTGCTGGGCAGAGGAGGGCAGACAAGTCCTTCTCCCTCCTGCCTCGACCCACAGGGGAGCTGCCCTCCCGCACACACTCCTTTCCCATTGTGACTTCCCACTGCTCCCCAGCCTGAGCCACCTGGAAGGCTGTCCCCGGCTCATGCCTTTGCGCCCGGCTGTACCACGAGCCCCACAGCAGCTGTCACAGTGACACCCTGACGTAAGTGTGCTGGAGACGGGGGGGGATCTGGGGTGGGCTTGCCTTACAAGTGAGGTGTGTGTGCAGCTGTCCTCAGGGTGAACAGTGATTCTGCACTTTGGACCTGAAGACCAGGTAGGGTCACAACTGCGGCCCCTGCACAAACTCAGCCAAGGGCGCCTGTTACCCCTACAAGCGCTCTGGCTTCTTGGTGCCTCCTGTCCCCCAGCAGGGTCTGGGCTCAGCTGTAAGCAACTGCTGCCATCTTTGACTCTGCAGCAGGAGGCGCGAGCTACTCGACCTGAGCAGACAGCCTGTCTCGGGCAGCACCTCCTCTGGCCACACGCAGCTGGGACCCGGCCAGCGCCTGTCACCTGAGGAGCCGCCACGGTATAAAGGGGCCAGAGAGGAAAAGGCCTCCCATTACAAGTCCCCCCGTGCAGAGCCGGCCTCAGGCCTCAGAAGGACGCGAAAAGCAAGGTGTTCAATTTAGTTTTGGAAACTCGAATCCAAACCCTCAAGAAAGGCCTGGGTGAGGACAGCCACCGTGCCTAGTGAGACCCGCGTGCCCGTGTGGACCACAGCTCCCTCCATGCTGTTGTCCACCCCCGCCTTCAGGGCCGCTCCTGCAGACCAGGCCCGGAGCACCCGCTGCAGCCTCATCCTGGGATTAGCAGGAGAGGCTACCCACCTCTCTGTTTCAGAACTGAACTGCACTGGAACGGCACTCCCTCCTCTGCGTTACTCACCAGGGTGGAGAGCAGACACAGGGAGGCTGTACTTTCGAGACACGTTCAGTTTCAAGTCTTGATTCTGTCTCTTCATGACTGCATCCTGTGATAGTTCCCCCCACCCCGCCCAGAGAAACAATGTTGTGCACCAAGACCTTGCACGTGAGACCCCAACCCTGCCGTCTGCTCACTGGATGCCTTTGGGGAGCTCTGAGTCATCGGAGAGAAAAATAAATGAGTGGGAGGAGCCAAGGGACCTCTGTGAAAGGGTCTGGCCCAGCACACAGCACCTCTTTTCACCCAAAAACAGTAGTTTCTTTTCTGACTGCAAAAACTAGTAAACTGTCTCCTTAACTAGGCTGTCAGACCCTTCTGGGTAAGGGTCTGGTGAAATGAGGAGAGGCTGGGAGAGGGAGGCTTCTCTTCTAGACACCTCAGCGAGAACTTCACCTCTCAAACCACAATGGTTAGTGCCTCGCGTGATAAATCACAAGGACACCCACGTACATTTTGTTTAATAAATAATGAAGCATATCCATGGCTTGACTTTAACTCACATCTACAGATGAACAGGTGACAGAGAAGCTGCTGCGCTGGGAGGGGCGCGGCCCCACATGCACGTGAAGCACGAGGAGCAGAGATGTAGCGCCAGGGCCCCCGCACCGCCGCCCTTGAGGCTGGACGCCGCAGCAGAGTGAGCGGAGGACTCGGGGGTGAACTGGCGCCACAGCTGAGCCCCCGCCCTCATGCTGCGGGACCAGCGGGGGAGGGGGGGTCATTACTTTCAGATGTGCTAGAGGAAGGGCTCCGGGTACAGAAGTGAAGCTCGCCCACGTGACACGAGCCGGGCATCGGCCACAGGGGGCATCGGTGGACAGGACAGTACAGGAGCAGAGAGGAAGCCTCGCACGGCAGAGCGGGCAGTGGACGAACGCCACCTCGGCGGGCTCAGTCCAAGAACTTCCTGTTGACGTTTGGACCAAACAAGGCTCCCCGCACCTCTGGCATCATCTGCGAAAACACAGGCTCCTCGTCACCCACAGCGGACAGCCGCCCACCCACCGTAGCCGGAGGACAGCAGCAGGCCGAGTACTCATCCCACGCACGCGGCGGGGGCCTAGGCCAGAAGCTACGCCTGGGGCCCAGGCTGACCGCTTAAAGGGCACAGACGGACGGACCACTGAGGCCGCGCCGTCTGAGGCTGCGGTGCAACGCGGGCAGAAGAGGTGCCTCAAGCTACAGCCGTGACACCCGCACCACCGATGCTTTCTCTCAGCAGGTGTCGAGGGCCTGCTGTGCACCCGCAAGTCTATGCTGCGGCACCTGCCAAGGCAGCTGGAGAATCCTGGAGGTTTGACCTCCGAACTCCTGAGGCTGTGCCATCTGACAGCCACCGGCCGCGCGCGGTTGTGCGACCGAGGAAATGAACTTAACTCTTCCTTTTACCTTGTTTAATGAGTTTATCTGCGTGTGGCTCTGAGGTGAGTTACCAGAGGACACTCCAGGTCAGAGCAGAGGACCACACACTGGAAGAGGCCCCGCACCTAAGTTTCCTGGCTAATCTCCTGTCCTCTGGGAACAAAGAGCTGAGCGCCCTATGCTGGTTCCTTTAACAAGCAGTTACTCAGTTCCTGTCATTCCTGCCCAGAAAGAACTCTGGTAAATCATCTTTACATGGAGTCAAGTCCTAGACAACGAAACCCTGGTCTGACTCCAAATCCACCCCCTTGTAAATGGTGTCACCTCAGCAAATGCCTCCATGTGCCCGGATCCCCATTCCTTTTAAGAAAATGGCAAAAAACACAGAACAAGAGCAACAACTCCAACACCAGTGAAGGGACAGGTTCTCTGCACCAGCGCAAAGCAACCGGAGACCACCCGCTGAGAAGTCCCACACTCACCTGCTGGGCTATGAGGTCCAGCCGGCTCTCAAGGGTGTTGGAAACCTTGATTTTGCGATCCCCGTTACAGATCTCAACGCCACCAGCGCTGCAGGGAACACGGGGAAAGCACACAGATGGATGTGAGAAGCACAGACACACATGGCAGCATCGCCTCACTCCCTGGGAGGAGAGCAGACGTGTGTGTGGAGGGTCAGCACTGCTAGGGGCCCATAAACACAAGCAGTAAGCCTGAAATTAATTAAAACGCTTCTGATGGTTTGAGAGATGGATGCTGACAGTAACTGTCGTTTACTGAGTGACTAAGTGCTGATCTGGCTCGATGTAATTCTAACCACCAGTACCCCCGGCCCCGGCGATAAACGAGAAGAGGGAAGATTTGGTCCCAGTGTGAAAATCAATACAGAGTCCTCATCTGTTTCTTAAAGGCCCAATCCTGCTAATTACCGGGGAGTGAGTACCACTCGGACAGAAGGAACTCTCCCAACCAGGGGCCAGACTAAATCCCACTCCAGCCAGACACCTCCCTTCCTCCAAGCTTCCAGCTCTTGACGGTGGCAAACAGGCCACATTCTATTACAAGGAGCCCCAGGGAACGACTTTTCTACATTAGAATTTTGTGGTATCAAGTATTTCTGGAAATAAGCAGGCTATGAGACAAAGGCCGGGAAGGGTTTTTTGCAAATTTTCTGAGGAGGATGTTCATGGGCTGTGAGGTGAGCACCTTCCCTCCCCACCTCACCTGTCTTCCCTTCTCTGAACAGTCGGACGCTGTCCCCACGAGCGAGGGCAGGGAGGGCAGAGGAAGGTCTGCTGTGCGCCTGGTGCTGCCCAGACGCACGGCCTGGGGGTCTCCACAACTCTCATCTCCCGGGAGCAGGGAGTCGCGTACCCTCACCACTTTACAAACCAGGAAGGGCTCACAAAGGGTGGACAGACAAAAGGACCAATTTACTGAATGAAATGACAATACTGAAAACTCCACTTTAAGTCTGCACAGTCCTTCATCTGCAATTCTGAATTTCAAAGAGCTCTGAAAACAGAAACATCCAATTCACACGGCTCCCAAGCTGGGCTGATGGCCAGTCACTTGTCAGCAAAGGACCAGCGAGCCCCTACCTGCCTCAGACCCTGCCAGGAGGGGCCGTGGCACAAAGAACGTGCCGTCCCCTTCCCAACGCGCAAACTCAAAGCATCTGCCTCAGGCTTCAGTAACCGTGGTCCTGACTGGAACCTGCCGATTACCAGACCCTGACCAGCTGCTCAGCCTCCACCCGCTGAGTCAGCGTTGGGCCCGGAGCCTGTTCCAGGTGCGGTGTCAAGTGCTGCACAGTCACCCTCTCACCTCTGCGTCTGACTTCTGTGAGGTGGGCGCTAGTGCCCCAATTTAGAGACGAGGAAATCAAGCCTCAGTGAGACCGACTACCTAGTGCCACCTACCCAGCTAACACGCGGCAGAGCGGAGAATCAGACCTAAACCTGCCAGGACGCTCAAGCTCACGCAGCTCCTCACTTTACAACGCGTTTCCACACAGACGACCCCTCTCCTCCTCACTCGATGAACCAAGACTGATCCTACTTCTCAGGTGACGGAACTCAGTCTCCAGGTCCCACAGCGGAAGCGGGCCTTGGAGTCCAGAAGTCCGGTGCCCAAGCTGGCCCAGGTGCGCACAGGCAGCGCCAGGCGGGCGGGCGTGAGGGAGAGCGCCCTGGGCCCCACCCCTGCCAGGACCCGCGCCGCCCATCCCGGCCACACCTCGTCGGCAGACTCCTCGCAGTCGCTGTCTGTAATCCTCTGTCCAAGGAACCTAGTCCTCACACACGAGCACTCGTCCTGTGCACCAGAATGACCAAGAGACAGTGGGCACGCCCCTCAGCATCTAACAGATGTGGGCCCGGCCTGAGTCCTGGGGACAAAGGTTGTGCTGCTTCTCTGCAGGATGAACTGAGGGACCCTGAGAAACTGGACTGTCAGGATATGTCTAGCTGGCCAAGCAGGGAGACCAACAGCCGGGCCTCTACCCTGAGGTGCAGGGAGTCCTGGAGGACGGGCAGGCGTGGTGGAAAAGCCGTCCTCAGAGCAAGAGGCTCCAGTGTTTAAGCAGAAATGCTCCTTACATTTCCTCAGGCAGGTAGGCTTCCTGGTCAATCTGGACGTCAGCGTCTCTTTTGGTGGCGATTCTGTACATAGGGATTGCTTTTTGCACTGCAGCCTGGAACGACAAACAAAAACACAATGAGAGGTTTTACCAGGAACTATGGAGCAGGTATTCAAAACAGCCAGCCAAGCATAGACGTTCCTATTTATTTTTCAAGTAAAAGAACAGACGCACTGCTGGCGGGCATGTGAAATGTGCACCTGCTGTGGAACTAGTGTGGCGGCTCCTCAAGAACTAAACACAGAACTACCACGGGACCCAGCAGTTCCATCTCTGGGTGTGTACCAAACAGACCAAATACCAAAAAGGTATCTGCACACCCACGATCACGGCAGCAGTGTTCACAACCATCAATGGGCAGAAACAGCCTTAACAGATGAGTGAACAAATAGAGTGTGGTCTATGCAATCTGCCCTTAAGAAGGAAGTCCTGGCACTTGCTGCAATACCGACGAATCCTGGAGACACTGTGTCATGTGAAACCAGTCAGTCCCAAAAGGAGAAACACCGTACGACTCCACTTACAGGAGGCACCCAGAGTAGCCAAGATCACCGAGTCAGAAACTAGACCAGTGGGTGCAGGGGCCGGAGAAAGGGTGTTTATTTAACTGGAGACAGTTTCGGTTCGGGGGGACAGACGGTGTAAGGATGGCTTCACAGCAATGAATGAACTTAAAGCCACAAACCTGTCCACTTAAAAATGGTTACGACGGCGAATTTTATGTTATGTGCACTTTGCCCCAATTTTAGAAAGAAATGAGCCCACTGGGGGAGAAAACACATGGAGGTGGGCGTCGAGGCTTCTTGGGAGTTACTGCGCGTGCAAACTCCCATCTCTGAGCAATACTCCAGCAGACACGCGAACCACACTTTCTCGCAGGAATGTTAGTATTTTCCTGACAACATGACTAGCTGAACAGACTCACACACACACACACTCCTCTCCCTGTTCTCAGACGCAGGGCAGCATCGTGGGGAGTCAGCACCCAGCTGGTTTCATGAAAAATCGTCTTGGCACAAGGCAACACTGCAGGGCCATCTACAACAGGCTCGTCGGCAACTCAGACTTGCCCCCCAGGATGGCAGTCACCTCGGTGATGTCTGGAACGTCCAGCTGTTCTACAGGTTCACACACGAGGCTGTCAGCACAGACCTGGGTGCAGGCTACTGGTGTGGTCTGTAAACTTGAACCACAATTTACTAACTGATAGCGGAGCCCAGGGGAACGCATACCTGTTCTCTGGAGGCAGTTTTTTCCCAGGGAGACAAGTTACTTGGGGAGACGACCTCTATTACAGAACATATTGTACACGTATTAATTTGTAATAAATGTAATCGCTAAGAGGCTAGGTACTCACATCCCTGCCTGAAAGCAAGCTACACGGAAGAAGAATTTTAACTGAAGAGCAACCTGACGACACAGAATCTGAGCTGGGGGGGGGGGGTCCTTCTATGACCTGAGGCTCCTTCCACTGCCACAGCCTGTGTGGACCTGCCACAGGGCGCGGGCCTCCTGGGGGAAGGGCCCCTCCCTCAGACAGACATGGAGGAGCCTGAACGCTGGCCTCTGGGACTGCAGGTGTGTCTTCTTGTTCTGCTGGGACCCACCTTCACCCTCCAGGTACAGGAAGACGCCGAGGCAGAGCCGAGCCTGGCTAGCCTTGGAGGGCTCCGCCCGTGCAGGGGGTGCTGCCTGTCTGTCTTCTGATCTGGTGTGTGTTGTTTTTATTGAATTTTCCCGAAGATTATTATTAACACAAAGTCTTCAGAAGATTAGTATCACACAGAGAAAGGCAGCCTGATTTAGACAACACATGAGAGCCTCAGGTGCGCTCAGGTTAACACCTGAGACAAGCTGAGGCCCCGCTCACCCCCACGGGCCAGCTGAGCCGTCACCTGCTTGAGCGCGCACTTCATCCCTGACATTCTGATCTTTAAAAACAAAAGATTTCTTCTTTAAGCTCTTTACCTTGACCAGAGGGAAATCCTGTTTCCTGCAACGAACGATCATTCGGGGCTCCAACAACTGGTACAAACCCTATTAAAGCACAACCAAATGCAATTAACAAAAAATGCAAACTATAAAATAAAGCAACAGCAAATAAAATGTCTTTATAATTCTTTCATCTAGTTTCAAGGGGAAATGGTTCCCTTGAGAGTTCCCCAAAAGACAGCATGCAGAGTGTGAGAACACGGAAAGAACTTGGTACCACTAGCCAGATAAATATACCCAGTGTTGTGGTGGAAACAAGATTCATACGGGGGTCTGTCTTCCCTTCATCACCCAGGGTGAGGACAAACTATTGTTATTCACAGCTGAGCAGCAGACAGTATAAATTTATACAGCCTGTGGTACGAACCACAGAATCTAAAGCAAGTATTTCAGTGGTGAAATCAAATTAGGAAAGTTTACAGCTGGAAGTTGTAAAAGACCAATGAGAGCATCCAAAGTCTCACTCAACCAGCTGGACACCACCGTCCCCCCAGGCATCTCCCTACTAGACAAGGAAAAGGGCGCAGCGGAGAACACGGAGGAATGGCGCGGGTTTCTGCTGCAGCTCGTCAGTTTTGCAGGAACTGTCAGAGGCAGGTCTGACCTACAGTTACCTGGAGGACTAGTCCATCCAGCAGCACTTGGTACCTGGTTGTATCTTTTACCACGTTGCTGAGTCTCTGTTTTGCTTCATTTAGTAGGTCCTATAAAGAACGGAAAAGAAAACGGTTATCTACCCACCTGGGCAATTAGCCCAGAACCCACGTGAGGTCAGCTCATGCCCAATCACTTCTCAGTTGATTGGTGTTTTCATTCAGTGCATTCGTGCACATGCGCTAAACCGGATGCCGTGCTAAGTGCACCGGTATGAGGGCACCGGACGCACCATCGTGGCTCCCCGGGAGCTCAGGAAGTGCGTGACCAACACAGCAAGGGCCACCTGATGTGGATCTGAAAAGCAAACTGTTGAGACAGTTATGCAAGATGGTTCCACTTTTTACTAGAGAAAAGACAGAGTATCTGGATAGAGAAAAGTGGCCCCAGTATCTGCCTGTGGGGGCGGGGCTGTCAATGACTTCAGTTTTCTCTATGTGAGTAGGTATTTTCTAATTGTCTGTAACACGTGGCTTCTATAATAAAAGTAACTGAAACAAACATTACAAAGGACTATCAAGAAACAAACCTCATGTGGTTGGAAATTCCTCATTAAGTAATAAGCACACACCAGCTCACTGGCAGAAAGAGGCTCAGGCCGCAGAGGGATGTGGAGTCCGGGACAGCCTTCCACATGTCTAGTGCCTACTTAACATGCTCTTCAGAGTGATTTTTTGGGATTTAATCGGAGGGAGAAGATACATAGAGACCAATCAGAACTTGGGGCAAAGAGAGGGCGGAGAGAAGGAAGTGGCCCTTTATTTGGTTCTGAGAGTCCCCCCTGACGCTCACCTCCCAGGAGCCCCTGCTAAGCAACACAAATACACCAAGATTAAAAAAAAACCAGGAGGACTCACTTTAAGAGCCAATTTAAAAAAATTCAATAAAAAGTAAAATAGACTCAAAGACTTGAACAGCACCACTCAGAATTTTATCACGGTAAACAGTAAGAAAGGTGGCCTTTCACATCCTCTAGAGACAAACCTTGCAAGGAAACAGAGATCGGTATATGACAACTAAAAACGTCCCTCCACACACACCTTCATGTGAAGCCTGTTTCTAATGCACTAACAGCAAACTGAACATGACAGTGCTGTTCACTGGTAATGAATAGTAATTTTCATTGATATTTTAAGTATAAGATTAAGTATAAGACTATACCACTTGTTAAATGGAGAAAAAGTAGGAGTATTATAATTGAACTTTAAAACACAGTTTTAATATACTAATTAAATTTTTTCCCTAAAAATTATCACTTACTATATTCTGCACTAAATGATTAAAATTCCCAGGGAAGTTTGCAAAATTCTAGTTTGCTTTAAAAAAAAAAAAAGATAGAAAATGCACGTTCACGGCTTCCCCGTTAAGACCCAAAGCAGAAGCCGTTTCTAACAAGGACTACCCAAGAGAAGAGCCCAGGCAGCAGCAAGACACTATCACCCGAAGCCCAGCGCCAGCCGGCGGGCAAGTTTCCCTAAACTTACCAAACAAAACCAGGTACTTTCAAAGTCAACAACAAAATGTCCAAAAGGACGTTTTCCTCCTCTGGACATGCAATCACTAGATGACCGTCACCTTCTGTTTCCCACGGGCAGGACCGTCTCAGTGGTTATGTCAGGCCGGCGCTGTCTGAAGGCGCTCCCATGGTAACTGCTACCCTTTTCTACAGAGTGTAAACAGCTTTCAGATTTTTCTAGGTCTTGGGAGTCTCAAGAGAACTCAAGAGCCTCTAAATCCCTCAGACAGCAACAGCCACCCTCAAACATTCTGCACAAACCAGACTAAGGCACCACAGCAAGAAATATTTAAACAGTAATTCATTGCCCCACGGAGACCTGGAGTCTGTAGATGGGACTATAATTCTGAGTTAGGCCAGAAACTAAAAATAGTGGTGACAGCAAAGACTGTTTTCTGAACTTCAAAGAAGACTATGTATCAAAAAATAAAAATCAGAAATTGACACATTGTAACTGACTATACTTCAATTAAAAAAAAATTAAAACATTTTGATTCAAATATACCTCAAAAATTAAAATAAAGCTGCATAAAAGAAAAACAAAAGGAAATCTCGGGAAATGGGGCTGGGAGTATGAGCTGTAACAAGGTCCCAGTGAGTCTTGTGCCCTTGCCGTGAGACAGGCCACCCAAGGGCCACCTGACACTCCACTCCCTGCACAGTTGCTAATCCCAGGCCTCGGTTTTCTGTTCACCCTGCTCCCTCCACCCCGTCTCCAAGGTAATGAATGAGTCTTTAAGGTCACACTCAAAAGGCTACAGTGTAGACACACTCTCTTGTCTGGAGAGCCAGCAGGACACAGGACAAGTGCAGGCATGCTCTGCACCTGGAGCAGCTGACGGCCTCAGGGAGGCCAGACGACTAGGAAACCAAATACAAGCATGAAAACTAAAAAGATCAAGTTAGTACTGAAAACAGACGTTTGCGACAATTTTGGAGGGAAGCAGATGAACCTGGCTCCTCTGGGGTCCACAAAGGTACGTGTGGTATGACTGGAACTGCTGCTTTGGGTTTCAAAGTCAGGAAAAGTAATCCTTTTCTTCTAGCCCACATCTTGAAGAAAATGATGGCAGCGCTGGGCACTGGCACCAACAGTGGGGAGGGTGCTCTGACCACCCAGGCCTCTCAGGAGAAGGCAGGTCACCCCGGAGGCGCTGGGGGTGGGGCAAGGGAACTAACACTTCTTACACCAATACCAGAAGCCAAGCGTGAAGACGGGGGACTTGGATGCACTCTCATTATATCCTCACAAGGACACTCTGAACCAAGCACCATAATTAATATGCCAAAGAGGAAAGTGAAGGTCAGAAACAATTCACCCAAACACGGCAGAGCTGAACTAAAACCCAAAGCTCTTTCATGACAACCACCAGCATGTCCCTCAAGCACAGACTGTTATTCTAAGAGCAGCTTATAAACCAGGGCAATCAATTTAAGGTGCTAAAGGAATCTGAATGCCCTGTAAGGAAATCGACCACTGCTTACTGAGACTCCACACTAGTGAGGAGGTGGGCAACAGCTGTCCTGAGCTACTGTTCGCAGGCAGCACTGCCACAGAAAGTGCTCTAGGCCTCCTGTGTGTCTGCAGAGGACGGGCACCCCCTGCCCCGCCCGGCAAGGCAAAGCAGCAACAGAGGCTCCACTTCCTGCACTCAGGACTCGGACGCACTCAGGTGTGAAGCGCTGCAGGGTTCATGTGCCTCGGTCCACACACTTAACATCCTGACATCACTTCCAGCTGCAGGCATCCTGGCCCCTCAGAGCACTTCTAGGAGTGATCTAGTCTAGTTCTGCTCGGAAGAGCCTGTCCTCCTGACCTCCTGCTTTGTTAATGGACACATCACTCTCCTAGGCAGCCAGGCCAGGATTTGGAGGCAGCCTTGGAAGAGGCGGAGAAGGAGGGGTCAATCAGTAGCCAATGTCTGCAGAGTCTTCCTATAAAATGCATCACCACTGACACCCCATTCAGCTCTCAGTGCCACCATCCCAGAGTCATGTAACAGGAAATAGCATTTTACAATATGAGTTTGTGCTTCCACAGTCACCTAAGAAAACAGTATGTCTGCCGTTCAGTCAAGTTTTATATTTTTAGTTCTTTGGCTTTTCCACACAGGTCCTTTTCATTAACATTTATTCCTAGTCGGTTATTTTCAGCACGTAGGGGAACTATCAATTTCTCTATGTTCTTTGGAGGTTTCTGCCCTCTTCCTTGGATGACAATACTTCCCAAGTGGCTTCCTTGTGTCTAACCTCTCCCCTGTTAAATTGAGACTACACATTCCTATCAGGAACCTTATTCACGGTATTTTTCAGAAAATACAATGGAAACGTCAACAACTTTCTGCTGGAAGCAGGCAAGGGTCTTCACTCACACTCAGGCTGACCTTTCCATCTCACTAGTTCCACTGCCCCCAGACCCTGCGCAGTGCACCCATCATGTGCTGTGTGACAGGGGTGTGCATGCTGCTGTCAGTGGGTCCTCGAAGATGGGGCACAAGTCTTACTCATTTCTGTATTTATTACAATACCAAGTACAATGATTTGCTGACCAAATGTTTCCTCTCTAAAAGTCATTTACCAACTCCTTAATGTTAACTAGTGAATTCTCTGTAACAGTCAGATGAATAAAAATTTTATAATTCTTTAACTACAGGGATTAATTACTCACTGTGATAAGGTCATCTCGCGCTCTGAGGACTTTGAGTCTCGCCTGATTCATCAAGTTGGACATCTGACTGCAAAAGGCGGAGACAGGCAGTGTCAGCGCAGCATCAGCCGCCCCGTAAAGCAGCGCGCTGCCTCCCACACACGTGCAAAGTCTCCTCTTCCTACAGACCCCAAGGAGGGCCCCTGAAACACACCCGGCGGTTCCCACCCACTCACTCTCAGAGACAAGCAAGCATTTACTGAGTGCTCACCCGGCGGCAAGCACTTTCCCATCAGCTATTCCAGCTTTGTCCTCCCATAATCCCGTGAGGCTTCCATTTCCACAAATGAGGAAAGGTAAGTTAAGCAACTTGATCAAGGGTAGGTAAGCAGTGAGGGGTCCAGTTAGGACCAGGGCCATATCTGCCCGACTCCAAAACACTCTGTCCTCTGGCCCCACTGCTGTTCGAAGCTCACATTTTCTTCTGCTGCTCAATCTGCTTCTCCTTCTTCTCGTAGTACTCCATAATCTTCAGCCTCTGGGTCTGCACAAGGCGGCCTTTCTCAATGTTGAACTCCTCTTCTGCCTACCAGGGAATTGATTATTATCAATTCATTATACAGATTCTGACAAATAGTTTTATTTTAAGCAGCTGGTGACCAGGGGTACTTGCTTATATTCACCCCATTTTTTTAATCTAAAACAGGAAAAACGTACTATGACTTGTTTTCAAAGATTACTTCTAATTTAATTTATTCAAAAAGAAAAGCCAGTGATTTTCACAAGTGAACTGGAAGACTAAAAATTTAATCAAGGGTAATAGTACCTAGCACCAAAGTCACAAAGAATATAGTTAGAAAGAAGATTCTGTATGTGAAAAAAAATTATTATGTATTTCAAATGTAATACATTTGCTTACTCTGTCTCCTTCTCATGTTTAAAATCTAACTACAGTGGGCAAAAATAACATATTTGTTTACTTGTCATGCAGACTGCACTGTAAATAAATCATCTGATAAATTACCCCCCCCCCAAAAATGTAATACATTTGTTTAATAGAAGGCTAATGAAAAGGACACAGAATTAGAAGTTAGAAGATCTGGGCAAGTAAATTTGGCCAAGTAATCTCAGTCTTAGAGTCATCATAAAATAAAAAAATAAAAACAGTATTCTTTCCTCACAGGTCAAAATCTAAGTCTTTTTAGAATTATAAATGTATCAGTCTTATTACTGCTAATTATTAAGCCATCACTTTTTAAAAAAAAGCTATCAGTGCATCAGTTGTCTATGAATTTTTTCCTACGATTTTCAAGCAGTAAGAAATTATGACTTTGGTAGCTAGTAAAGTTGTTGATTTGTATGTTTAATGCTTGGCACAGGTATTTGAGCTTTCATATTTGACAATAAATTCCATAAAACAAAAATAAAATAAAATACAATAAATGCCTAGTGGCTTATTTCTACAGCTATCACAGGAAATAAGTCCAGATGATGGCGTTATAAAGTAAGACTACTTTAAACAGGAATGCATTTACCAATGAAACAGAAGTTCTGTATTTGTCCCAAACAGAAATACGGGAACCAGTCAAACAAGAAACTGTAGCACTCCTAGGGCCAGCAAAGCAATAGTCTTTTCCGAAGGGTGGGTTATAGCTCAGTGGTTGAGCGTGTGCTTGGCATGCACGAGGTCCTGAGTTCAATCCCTGGTCCCTCCATTAAAAAAATAAATAAACCTAATTACCTCCTAGCCACCCCCACATCCCCAAAAAAGTCTTTTCTTCCTTAAATGATAACCTACTCAAATAGTTCAAAAGTTCAGAGTTTTAGTCCTAGACACCAGGCACATACCTTTTTTTAAGGCTGTATTGTAACAAATGCAACTACTATAGAATAAATCAAAAGGACAATGAAAATAAAGGGTTAGATGACATATTCTGGCCTCTGATTACACCTAGAGAAAAGAACAGCTTGATATGCAGCATATACACAACGTGCAACTCAAAACACCTATACAACTTCTAAATGCTGTCACTTTTGTGATGAACAGGGGCTTTCGTTTTAGATCTCATATACTTCCAAACTATTTTTTTGCAACAATCACAAATTAATAAAAAAGCAACATAACAACAACAAAAAACTACACCCTCCCCTGACCAACTGTCATAATTAGCCGTAGATGCTCCACGTCTGAATATGGATCCCATGAGAAAATCAACCCACCCTTTACTCTTCCACTCCCTACCATAAACTTTCAGGACACTTACTGACAATCAGAATGTTCAGAAAGGAAAATTTACTTTTAATGGTAAAGAAAGATTCTTAGTCCTATGCAATACAACTTTATTAATTACTATGTAGCAAAGCTAAACAATACGAAATGGGGTAACTTCTTAAACCTAGAAAATGTAATCTCACCTTCGCATCTATTTCTTCTGCCTTCTCATTGGCTTCTTGTTCAATAAAAGCCATCATGTGCTTAATCTATAAGGAGAAGGAAAGGTTATTTTATTTTTGAAGATAAGAAAGTGTCTGTCTTTTCTGATTCATTCAACAATCATTTTTTTAAAATCTTTTTTAAAAATTGAGGTATAGTAATCATTTATTGAATGCATTTTAGGTGCCAGGCACTGTGTACAAGGATAAATGAGATAATTTCTGTTCTCGAATAATTTTCAATCTGGAATTTACTCTGGCAAATGGATCCCATGCAATATTCAACAACAACCAGTACACAGAACATGATCCTACTCTCAGGGAACTTCCTCCTCTGAGGGGGAGGAGGGACTGGGCACACAGCCTCCTCTACTCCCTGCCTCCTTCATCCAGCACCTTCTTCTCTTCTCCATCTCTAACGACACCTATCATAGTTGTCCATATTCTTTCAACTCTCTTACCTCCTACTCTCAACGTACGCCGGCAATCTGACTTCCGCCCTCTCCATGCTGCTAAGTCACTCTCGTAAAATGACAACGATCTCTTTGTCCTCATCCTACCGGCTCTTCAGTGTCTGCATATGTTGACTGCCGTCCCTTCTGAACACTCTCTCCTTTGCTTCCATGACTTCCTTCCTCTCTTTCTCAGTCTCCTTCAGGGTCATGCTCTCCTTCCTCTGCCTCCTAGAGGGCTCTTCTGGAGATCTTACTCATGGGAACTGAAATTCAGCGCACCCAGTAAAAAACCTGGTCCTCTCCTCCCACCCTGATGCTACTGGAGGATTAGCATCTGTACTGGAGGATTAGCACCAACACCCAAGTCCCTCTCCTCCCTGACTGCAGTGCTCACCTCCAGTCACCAGTCTTGTCACTTCTTTAACAGTGCTTTAACTTGTCTGCATCACTCCATCTTCCTCTTGCTCCCTATCTAGTCTGCTCGACCCTGCAACCAGAAAGGTCCTGTACAGATGCCTCTCATCACAGCACGCTCCTCACGATAAAGGGTGAAGGTTTCAGAAGCTACGTGATCTGGCCACCGCTCACCTTTCCAGCATCACACAGACATTACCTTCACCACCAACCGCTCTTCACACTCTTAGTTCCTATCACACTAAATTTATTTTGGTTTTTCAGTTCCTTGAGCTCACTGTTCTTTTCAAACACACCGTTCCTTCCACTTTGAACACTCTTCCCCCACCTCTTCACCTACCCAACTTCCAGACCTCAGCTTGTTTATCTGTCACCTCCTTTGGAAAATCTTTCCTGAGCCTCTCACTGACATGCACCTGGGACGCTCTGTGCTCCTCCACCTAAACATGTAATCCTAACTGCTTGCTTATGTGTCCCTTTCTCAACTAAACTATAAGGCCAGGACCTACTAAAGGATTTTAGATCTCTGGCTGTAACTGGAGAATAAACTCCCCCAAAGACTTCTGGGTGGGGCTTGGGGCGACTGATCCAATTTATACTTGTAAGTGGCATACTGTCTCTAGCGACAGACGTAAAATATCCCCAAATGAATATGCTACACAAACAACACAGCTAACCAAGCTCACTGGTAATTTACTTCACAGCAGCTTCTACCAGAAAAGAATGATGACAATTAAAAAAAAAAGGCAGATTAAAAAAATTTCATGTAGGATCTCCAGGTTATTAATTCATTTTGCTTATGAATTCTCCCCATAAAGGGAAACTCCACGGGTACTTCTGAAGCTCTGTAAACCCTGGACACAGACCACTGCCACCACAATGGGTGCTCAATAAACATTCAGGAGCCAGTGAGAATCTGCCAGGAGTGTCAAGCCTTTTTAGGCATCCCAAGTACTCTTTAGAGTTTAACAATCTGAAAACAGTTCCCAGATTCCTCCTTTAACACAAAAATACCATAAATCTAAGGTACACATAAGTGTACAGAAGTGAGTTAAGATTTGTTTCACAAGAATGTAAATATACTTAAGACCACCGAATCTGTCACTTCAAAGTGGTTACGAAGACAAATTTTCTTATGTGTTCTATACGATTTTAAAAAGTGAGTTTATGTTACTAGTCCTGTTTCCACCCAGAGAAGCTGCTTTTGTAACTTTCTTTTATTCAAAAATAAAATGTAAATACCAAAAACCAAAAAAATAAAGAATAAAATAAAATAAAAGTGAATTTAGAATACAACCTCACAGCATCAAAGTCAAGGAAAACACATTGTTGATTTCAGAAGAGAAGTTTTGTGGGTTTTTTGGTCAAAATTCTTAGGAGTTATCCTACCCTTGTGGAGCCAAAACAATTATGACCATCAGAGCCTATTTTATAGGGGATATAGTATTTATAAACTCTCAAGCCTTGAAAAACTGGGGTACCTAACCCAGACCTACCCTGTATAGAAAAATCACTGTGACCTTGCTAAAAGGACCCAAACCCCTCAGACCTGTGCAGTGTGTCTGTGTTTGTGGTGAGGAATGCTACTACCCCCATGGGTTTAGTTTGAAGTCAACACCAAACTCAGTCTGGAATTTTAAAAGTAGTTTGAATACAGTAATCAACACAGGAGCTTACAAATGCTACCAGACACATCTGGCCCTAGAGGTGAACCCTGATTCAAGCCTGCACTGTCTGCCCTTATCACCCGTACTGGACCCTCTGCTACCAGATTTGACTAGATCAGCACAGCCCAGAGCAAAGCACACTAATTCCAACCCCGGTCAGAGAAGCCCGTTTACAGTCAACAAGAGCACGTTCTGCCTTTAGAGTCCAGAGAAAGTCACCCCCTTCAGGACATTTAACTCCACCCCTAAGGCAGAAATACCTGCCTTTTCCAAAAGTACTTTTCTTCTTCCTGCTGAAGCTACTGGGTTTCACGGGTTTTTCGGAGTCAGATTCTTTTGAAAATTTGATGTAATAAGTGATCGTACTGTACTCCTCAGACAAAAAAGCAACATATATAAATACTTTAATACAGCGACGAAGAAATGAGAAGATTCATGAGCGCCTACTGTGCGCTTGGCAGGTGGCGGTCAGCGCTGAGAATCCAGGACACACGCACCGCCCCGAGGGCGCCTACACGGAGGGTGCAGGGTGCGGACAGGAGACTTCACGCTTCCACTTTAACGGAAGGAGAACGTAGTCTGGGTCTAGATTCACTGCTTTACTTTCACAACGTGTTTTTCCTGGGGAAGCCTTAGTTTTCAACATATCATAACAAGAGTAGGACGAAGGAACAGAGCAAGGAGAGCGCTGGAACCATAACTGTGTCCAGTAGACCGCGGAGGGCAGCGCGTCGAGTTTTTCCTACAGCGCAAGTCAGAAGCAGCAGTGACTAACGCTCAAAACCCCCAGCGTTCTGTAAGAAGGGGGTGAGATTTCCTAAACTTCCCCACAGGTGCTATTTTTGTTCCCCTTTGTCATGAGCCACCGAGATGAAGAAACGCCACCCTTCCTAAGCGCATTATCAGGTTGCGAATAAAACGCAAGGGTATTTTCAAGGAAATGGAAACATCCAAGGAAAAAACATCGTACTGCTCATTCTAGAAGATTCACGAGGCAGTGACTGTGCGTTAGTCAGAGTTT